TTTATGGAGCAAGTTGCAATGTGAACACTGACTGATGTTGTAGTGGCCAGACTTAGGCTTGGTTACAAGTACTTCTGGCAGTTTGGGAGACACACAGATGATGATCAAACTAAATGTAAATTATGTGATCAGGCATATGGTCACTGTCTTGAACACTATGTGCTTAATTGTCCACTTATTGAGGAATATAGAGACAGACAGTATAATAACCTATGTGACACGTCAAGATATCTTATTAATTCAATTCAATTCAATTCAATTCAAGTTTATTCTCTATAAGGGTTACAATGTGGGGTTTACAGGTTTTGGGTATTGTGTGGTTTACATGTTATAAAATACTAATTACAGAGGGGGCCACTAGGACACCTAGCATGGCTAGGCAGATAATAACAGAAGGAGAAAAACATATATACATATATATATATATATATAACCCCTTCTCCCGTATAAATTACTAAATTTAAGAGAAACTTTCGTTTTTCTTTTTGGGCCACCCTGCCTTGGTGGGATACGGCCGGTGTGTTGAAAGAAATAATATATATATATATTTATTTATATATATTTGTGTGTATGTGTGTGTGTGTGCACCTTCATATAATAACCCTATACTGCACGAATATGACAGTATCCTGAGGCAGATTTTTACGAAAATACTTATCCTTACTCTAGAAGACGGGCAGTGGAACCAAGCTACACTTCCAGTTAGACTAGGAGGCATTGGTGTCTGCAAGTCATCAAATCATCACAGATTGCGCTACCTGCTTTTCTGTCCTCATATATTGCATCCAGAGGGCTCGTAGCAGCGATTCTCCCTGAACGTCTTAGGCACAAGATTGGAGTCCAGGATCAAAAGTTCATTGACGGAGCCATGATCTGGGATAATCTATCGGGCTTCGAAACCAGACCTGCTCCCCCCAACATCTACAAATAATCGCACTAGGATGGTCCAATAATGGAAAAATATAGCCTCAACAATGCTTCAGAGTGTGTCAGGGAAGGATAGAGCCCGCTTCCTGGAAGTGAGAGCCCCTCATGCAGGGGACTTTCTGTTTGCTGTTCCCAACTCCAGCCTTGGCACACGCCTCGACCCATAGATCATCCGCATCGGTGTTGCCCTTCGACTTGCCGCCCCTATTCTCGCCGAACACAGGTGTATTTGTGGCAGTGAAGCAGCAGACCGATTCGGATACCATGGTCTTGTGTGCCGTAAATCCGAGGGAAGGATTGCAAGACATGAGGAGGTTAATAACATTATCAAGAGGAGCCTCACAACAGCCGGATGCCCAGTAGTAAGGGAGCCACCCCAACTATGCAGATCTGACGGCAGCCAGAAGGGTCCAGATGGTATCACCCTTCAAACCTGGACAGACGGGAAGCAGGTGGTGTGGGACTATACATGTTCATCTACCTGGCTGATACCTATCTCCAATACACCAGGGAGGAAGGAGGGGCAGCCGCCAGCTTCAGGGAGTCCCAAAAGTCTAGAAAATATGGAGAACTTGCCCATCACTATATGTTTGTTCCCAATAGGCTCAAAGACCCTTAGCTCATGGGGAAAGAGTGCATCTAAATTCCTTAAGGAGCTGGGAAAAAGACTCATCAGGGTAACTAGGGATCCCAGGGCAGCTAGTTTTCTGTTCCAGCGGCTCAGTGCGGTTGTTCAAGGGGGTAATGCCTGCTGTATTATGGGCACACGCCCACACACGTAACAACATGTACCGTATATGCCACCTTTATATCAACAATGTATCTCTTAAATCTTCTGTACCATATTATATAATAAAATATTCCAATTGGTTATATAATATATATATATATATATATATATATATATATATATATATATATATATATATATATATATATATAATATATATATATATATATATATATATATATATATATATATATATATATATATATATATATATATATAATATATATATATATGTATATCTATTATATATATATATATATATATATATACATATATATATATATATCTTTATAGTATATATAGTATAATATTATGACCATACTATATATATAAAATTCATAGAAATATATTTGATTTTATATAATTTTTAAATATTTATTTACACATTATTTAATATATTATTTATTATATACTATATATCATATATATATAATATAATTAGATCCACCTGTAAATTTGTGGGACCCTTAGCCTCGGTAATGATAAAAAGGCTTCAAGAAGAATATGGATTCTTCTGAGCTTTTGAATATTCCAGTTACAACTTTACTTTTTTTACATTCTATTATATTTGAAAAAATCGGTGCTATGTGAAAATGAAGAAATAGCTTTATAAGGTAATATTTACTCATTGTAGTGATTAGTAAAAACCCTTGTAGGATTTTCGTGATTTACATTAGGACTCTGTTGACTTCCTTGACCCTTTGATCCTTTCCCCACTACCTTTCATTATACAGTAATAAAAGAGTGGAAAGAATTGCTTGTCCCAGCATAAGCCACTTAATGTTTGTATTTATAACTCATTACAATTGTGACCGGGTGTGGACTTGTCAGTGGTTCATTACTTTGTAATTTGTTCATGACTGTAACCATGTATAGGAGTGACCATGATTCATTACCTTTGTAACTTGCCATGATTTTGACCAGATCTACCTGGAGTTCATTACCTTTGTAACTAGTTCGGCTATCATAACATTGGGGTCCAGACCCTGGACCCATTATGTACCTCTGTAATCTTTTGACTACCACCCACAGGATGGGTATGGTGTGCATAATAAACATGTTAAGCTAACTAATTAACATTGTTAAGCTGATTCTTTCTATTTAATGTTCATGTAAATAAGTCAGTTCACTTTATTCCTAGTGCACTTCCTTTTACTGTAACTGATTTTCACACACTTGACTTACTTAGCTGTTTCATTTTTTATAATCATGACTGATTTTTACTGTATGTTACAGCTTGGCTTTAAATAATAAGATATTATTAAGTCATATAGAAAATACACAATACGTACGTCAATTTACTCCGGTGAGGACAGGCAGAAGAAGAGAAGTTCCTGTACAGGTGAGTAAAATTACTAAAGTAATAATAATAATATCTTTATTTCTGCAAGTATATGTACAAGGTAAGTGTGATGAACAGTGAGTTTGTAGCACTATGCAGCAGCAGCCTCACTGGTCAATCATATTGAAATGTCGACTGTTTTCTAGCCAACCTGTCTGCCCAGTTGCTGTCCCTTGTAATATAATATGTGTGAATTGTTTGTCCAAGCTAAATGTATATTCATTCTGATCAGTACTGTTCTGTGTTCTAATTACAGCCTCTTCTAGATATCCGGACTTGTTAATTTCTTTGATAATGAGTGTAGACAGAAGGATGGTAAACAACATCCATTCAGGGAGATATTACCGTCCGATAAAATAGGTGTGAAATCGAAATTTGTTATTTACTTTCCACTGGCAGGATTGCTGATCTCTCTTTCTATCTAATGTACACGAAAGATGACAGGTAAATCTTATAAACTTCCACTTACATTCAGTATACAACATACCTTTTCTTAATCCAGGTAATATTTCCCATACAAAATAGGTCTAGTCTGAGTCTAGTCCGTGGGGAAATTATCCACAAAACCACTAACAGATTAGTAGTAGTAGTAATAGTAGTAGTAATAGTAGTAGTAGTATATTTAAGCGAATCGCTAAATCCATGTGGGTCATTCAGCGGAAAGTGTATTGGAAGCTCGATCCTCCGTCAGGTAATAATAACAGAAATGCTACTCCAACAGGTAATCTTGCCTTGTCATTTGGTGTGAATGTTTACTCTGATAAACTATGATACTTTGTGTTGTGAGTCCTTCATTAATATTGGTGTTCTTGATTTCTGGTGGTTAAATTCCGTGAATGAAGTCTCGCCAATGTACTGTTTGTCACTCCCACCTGAGAAGTAATTATAATAATAACCATAAATTTTAAAGGGTGGACCGGTAAGCCAGCGGAAGTCCTCGGTCAGATGATCAAAGCTCCAGCTGCGGGTCATCATATGACTAAGACCCGCGTCAGGAAACACGCGTCCTGTTTCCTGACAAACTTACCTAACCTAACCACTAAGAGAGAATGATGTATACTACACTAAGGTTCTCTTGACTTCTGTGTTCTGTTTTGGTAAAATCTCTAATGGTTTTAGAGGTGAATACAATATTCAATCCGCCCATCTTTAGCGCCTATGTGTTTATATAGTGTTACCTCTACAAAAAATAAGACGTTAACTGAGCAAGTTAACAGTAATGGACTATATTAACTCAAAAAATTAATTCATTAACACACTTTGTAGTAATAAATAGCAGTAATTAGTGATGCAAACTCATCAGTGTATACACAGAGGTATATACTCTTTATCAGTACATACAATAAGATATACATAATTTTAGTGTATACACTGAGATATGCACACTTCTCAGCACCGAGATACTTCTCAGTATAGACAGCCTATTTAGCTCTACGCGTAATGTACAGACCAGATTATTATTATTATTATTACATATTATTTTCATTATTATTATTATTATTATTATTATTATTATTATTATTATTATTATTATTATTATTATTATTATTATTATTATTACAATAATGGAGAAACACAAAATTCGTCTGGGAAATGGGATGGATGAGGATAAATCAGATGTGATCCAAGAAAGGGGATGGCAACTCCAGTACCTTGGGTCAAAAAACCCTCAGCTGCATCGAGGGTATATCAGATTACTTGCACAATGGGACAACTTGTGCGATGCCCTGTATCAACTCTAGTCATAAAGCAAAAACCACAAAATACGATAACTTCTGCACATAAGAGTTGCAGAGTATTTTTTTTAAATTTACGTTCATCTCGGACAAAAAAAAAATACTTATTTTGTCTTATGTGCTGCATTATGTTTGTAGCGTCGTTTAATTGTATATAATGGAGTGTAAGGTACATATGGCAGCTTTGGTGAGGCGAGTATGATTACCATGGGTGTCGTACTCAGTGCATTGTTAAGGGGTGGTGGGGTTGTGTCTCACTTCCTTCTCTCTCGTTCTAACTCGGAGCTCCTGTTGTCAAAGTAAGTGTGTGTTTGATACTCTTGTCAGTGTCTCCTGGTGGCATTGGTAACTTGGTTTTAAATTTGATTTTGGGGAATATTAACAAGATATACAGTGATTCAAGGTCACTGAGGTACATGATATGCTAAGTCACAACACATGTAGCGAGTATATTTACAGTGTAAGGTGTGTGTTTGTATACCGTGAGTGTATGTATATGCAGTGACAGGTATATATACAAGCCTGTACTCACCTATTTGTACTCACCTATTTGTGGTTGCAGGGGTCGAGTCATAGCTCCTGGCCCCGCCTCTTCACTGATTGCTACTAGGTCCTCTATCTCCCTGCTCCATGAGCTTTATCATACCTCGCCTTGAAACTATGTATGGTTCCCGCCTCCACTACTTCACTTTCTAGGCTATTCCACGGCTTGACTACTCTATGACTGAAGAAATACTTCCTAACATCCCTTTGATTCATCTGAGTCTTCAACTTCCAATTGTGACTCTTGTGTCTGTGTCCCATCTCTGGAACATCCCGTCTTTGTCCACCTCGTCTATTCCTGTGTACATACAAGCCTGTGTATATACAAGCCTGTGTATATACAAGCCTGTGTATATACAAGCCTGTGTATATGCAAGCCTGTGTATATGCAAGCCTGTGTATATGCAAGCCTGTGTATATGCAAGCCTGTGTATATGCAAGCCTGTGTATATGCAAGCCTGTGTATATGCAAGCCTGTGTATATACAAGCCTGTGTATATACAAGCCTGTGTATATACAGGTCCATGCCTATACACAGGCTTGTGTATGCAGAGGTGAACGTATATATACTGCATAAACAGCTGTGAATTTCTGTATATACAACAGAGCTATCTGCCCAAATGCAGTCGATAGTCTTCAAACGTAACAAGCTGCCTAGTTATTGTTTTTACTTTGTTTTTTGTTGTTGTTTTTTGTTTGCTGTTTTTTTTTCTTACCACCACGGCCAGCACCACCACTACTAAAAAAAATCAAGTGATAACATTGAACCTGGTAAACACATTACTGTGAGTGATTTTAGATTATTTTTTTCTTGAATGTCTGTTAGATAAGATAGTACACTATGCTTCATTCAGGTAAAAACAGTGATTTTTATAGCTTGATATAATATCTTATAATGGATACATTAAACATAAAGGCATACATTCGACATATTAGGTTAGGTTACGTAAGATTAGGCAGGGAACAAGACATTTTTTCCTGATGCGGGTCTTGTCATGTTATGACCAGCCACCAGAGCTTTTGTCATCTGATTGAAGCCTTCCATTGGCTTACCAGTCCACCTCTTTATAATATATATATATATATATATATATATATATATATAAATATATATATATATATATATATATATATATATATATATATATATATATATGTAATTATAGAAACTTTCGCCTGGGATTCATTTATTATCTTTTATTCATTATTTTGTATTTAACGGGTAATATCAAAAGATATTCTTCAATATTTCGCTTATGTTACTGCTATGTTAGATTTCTCGTTACGCTTCACAAAAAAATGTCTATTCCTTTTAGTTTTCTTGTTTGATCAAAACGGTGTTTTTATTTTTTCGAAATGGAAATAATTTATATTATCCATCGTCTGCATGACTCCACTTTAGATTATAACACTTAATTTTCCTACTGGACTTGACACTAATGACATTTTCATCTACATACAAAAATGACTGACATTAAAAATTAATATTTACAGGGCACAAGAATAACAAGGGCAAGAGTCCTTATTTAACTGTTATTAGCTTTTATAAATTGTTTCTCACTTAGTCATGAGTTGAACGCCGGCGGAGCCTGTGGCGATCCCTAGCAATATATTTCCCCTTATATCATGGCTCAGTGTCTTTTTTTTTTTTTTTTTTTTGTAGATGTGGAGAGAGTATCCATGTAAAAGTTTCTTGCTATATTTGGGAACTAGTAAAGTCCACATTGTTAGTTAAATATGATCACCCTATGTCTGAACCTGAGTGGTAACTGGTTAAATGTTTACCAGTAAAATATTACATGTACTTAATAATCCCTTCAAAGGAGATGTTTGATGCTTGTGAAGAGTTCTTGATCCAAGAAATCGGAGCTACACTCCACTTTTCTGATCAGATGTGATTACTTCTTATTTCGCAGGCATTGTTAAACTTGTTAAACCCTTACTGGTTTATAGCCCTTCACTGTGAATATAATAATGATATGCCGGATAATATATTGGGCTCTTAGACCTCGGATATAATTAACATGCCTCTAGTTGCTAACAGCTGATCTAGTATTATCTTGAAAGATGGGTGGGGCTCTGACCGAATTGAGCTTTCTTTATTGTTCAGTTTAATATCTTTATTATGCACCCATACCCGTCCTGTGAGTGATAGTTTAGTTAGTTTAATATGTTTATTATGCGCCCCATACCCATCCTGCGGGCGGTAGTCAAAAGATTACAGAGGTACATAATTGGTCCAGGGACTGGACTCCAAAGTTTTGATAGCTGAGCAAGTTACAGAGGTAATGAATTCACAATTTACAAAGGTAATGAACTCACAAATTACAAAGGTAATGAACTCCGGGTAGGTCTAGTCACAATCATGACAAGTTACAAAGGTATTTACAGATTACAGAGGTACGTAATGGATCCAGGGACTGGGCCCCAAAGTTTGGATGGCTGAACTAGGTACAAGGTAATGAACTCACAAGTTACAAAGGTAATGAACTCACAAGTTACAAAGGTAATGAATACTGTAAGAATGGTTACTTACGTTTATACATGGCTACAATCATGAACAAATTATAGTGTAATGAGCAATTCACACTTCCACACCCGGTCACAACTGTAATGAGTTATTGGTGCAAATATTGATTGTTTATTCACACACACACACACACACACACACACACACACACACACACACACACACACACACACACACACACACACACACACATACAAATTCACACACACACACACACACACATATACAAATTCACACACACACACACACACACACACACACACACACACACACACACACACACACACACACACACACACACACATACACAAACTCATACACACACGCACACACACTCATACCGGTGAAGAGCAACCGGTGAAGAGGCGGGGCCAGGAGCTAAGACTCGACCCCTGCAACCACAAATAGGTGAGTACAAATAGGTGAGTACACACACACACACCCACTCATACACACACACTCATACACATACGCACACACACACACACACAAACACACACACAACACACACACACACAACACACACACACACACACACACACACACACACACACACAAAAGCACTGGACAAGCACCCAAAGTCAGTTCCTGATCAGCCGGGCTGTGGCTTGTACGTTGGTTTGCGTGCAGCCAGCAGCAACAGCCCGGTTGATCAGGCTCTGATCCACCAGGAGGCCTGGTCACAGACCGGGCCGCGGGGGCGTTGACCCCCGGGTGATAGTCAAGCTCACAATGACGCAAGGTGTAACTATTACCCATCTGATAAATTTACACTTACTTAAGTCTACATCAGGTGGTGGCTGGCAGTGATTTAACCTCTCAGCTATAGTGATCAGCCAGTCGGAGCCGGGCGGTAGTGACATCCAAGAGTCTGCTGATTTTGTTGGATGCATCACAGACATGTAACTCCTGTATGATAGAATGATAAGTGGACCGACAGATGCTAGAAGTGACATATTGATTATATTGGTTACATTTGGCTATCATTTCGGAGGTGCTGCCCTAGAGACTTACCTGCAGTGTTATCAGCTCCGGTGACATTTTTTTTTTTAAGTTGATTCCTCTAATGTAAATTCATAACCTGAAAACTGAATTTCTCAAGACGACGTATTTATCACTGTTAGTTGTTTGATGCACACCGCTGTTTTACTATTGATGAGACAATAATTTGTGTAACAATACTATGTCCTATTAAAGCTCATCATTTCAGCTGTCACATGGCACCCCTCGTATGTCATTACCAATATTTAGCTCTGTTATAACAATCTTTTGGGAATCATGACATTACTCAGAAGCTTTTGTTGCTGACAGAGCGTTCTGAATTTGCTCTTGTATGCTTTCAGTGTTTTGTTTCTGTAATTATTTAAAGGGGAAAATGTTGTAAGGATCCATTTTGCATGTAGCTTTGAAAACTGTCAGATTACCCATTGGCTATATATTCATAAATTATTATTGAATTATATGTTTTTTTAACACGCCGGTCGTCTCTCACCGAGGTAGGATGACTCCGAAAAAGAGAATGTCTTGTCAGAGACATGCCGATATTACAATTCAGATCCCCCTTGCCCTCTAAGTGTAGTATCCCCACCCCTTCAGAGTACAGGCACTACATGTATCACTAAGAAAATGGTGATTTCTCCACTATATAGTGGCATTGAGTGACCCATGAGAATAATCATCTCCATTTCTCAATTATGTGAATAAGGATGATTTTGAGGCTACTGAGCGAGGGGATGGCGCTGGGGACGTGTGTGGTCAGGTGTGGCAGACTTGGGCACTCGGTCTTACTCCCTCGATACATCTCATCGGGAGCAGTTAAGCAACAGGTGAATACAGCAGCAGCAGTAGAAGGAAGCCTTGAATTAGCCGCTGCTCGTCCCACTCATGAGATTCCTGGACCAAGGGTGTATCCTATTGTAGGCACTCTCCCAGAAATGATGTTCAACAAATGTAAGTCTTTTAAAGTTTGTTAATATCACTTGTTGACAATATTGCCTATTAATAATATCTTTTATTTTGCAAAGTGAGGTTTGTAAGTCCTGAGGTTTAACCTAACAAGTGTAGTAACCTAACAGCGTAATAACACCACTAACCGTAGGTATCTGATCATCATATAGAAAAGTTTCTCAGCCATTGGTGCATGGAGAATCTTGGCTACGTGGTTTTCATAGATCAACCCAATTTTTATTAAGGGCAGGTAGGTTTTCCCTGGGACAATTTTATAGAATTTTACCATTTTTAATGTCTCGTGTAGACTAATTACTCTGTCTTTAAACCAATGAATTTGTTTCAATGGATCTCTAAATTTATTCCTGCTTTCAAATATCAAGTGAGTGACTTAAGATTATGGAAGTTACCGTGGTCAAGATCAAATTCATGTAAAACCCCCAACACGTGACTCAAAAAAAAAATACTTGATTTCTTCAAGAATATCATCTTTCACTCAGCGTGTATCTTGATGGTGGTGTGGGGTTCATGATCCAAGAAATTAGAGCTGTTTTCCCCTCCGTGCAATTCCCCAGGTCTGTCCAAACGAGTTTAGCGCTTTATATGACAATAATAGTTTAAGTTTAGTAACTGTTCCCCCAGCCTACACTAAGCTTAATGAATTATTGAGGAAATGTTGAAGTTCAAATTCCTACTTTTATATAAAAAATTAACCCAATATTTGAATTGTTCCAGTTAGATATTTTTACAGACTACATCTAGGATAGTTTTTTTTTTTGGATTTAATCCTGCAAGTCGGTGTTGGAAATATATTAATTTTAATGGAGTTTTGATATGTTTTTTGTAAACTAGCGTACATAATAATGTAAAGTTTTCTTGCAACGTTCTGTGGCTCATACGGGTTTAACCTTCATCGTTTAATAATATTATATATAAATATATATATAATTAAAAATATAATATTAATATATAATATATTATATATATATATATATATATTGGCAGTTTGGAGGGATTGTTGTGTACTTTTTATTTTATGATTTTTAAGCTGTTGTATTCTGAACCTCTGCAAAAACATGAAATGTGTGAGTGTGGTGAAAGTGTTGAATGAGAAAGTATTTTCTTTTGGGGATTTTTTTTCTTTTGGGGCACCCTCCCTTTGGGGGGAGACGGGGGCCCACTTGTTTTAACTATATAAAAAAATATATATATATATATAATATATATAATATATATATATATATATAAATATATATATATATATATATATATTTAAGAGGTGTGGGGGTAAGTTTGGGGGGCCAGGTGTAAATGAAAATGGGGCCCTTTGATTGAACTTTTTATAGAAAGGGTTTAGTTATAGGGAAAACATATTTTTTAAAAAAAAGAGGTAAATAATAAACAAATATGAGTAGGGGGAAAAAAGTAGTTTGTGGATTATGTATTGTAGATAAAAACTGTGAGTAGACTTCGGGTGTACATGTTTATAAGGGGCCACAATATATCAGATCACTTTTTAGTTTTACTACACTAGAGTAAAAGGGGATGGGATCAAAGAATAAACATCAGGAAGAAGAGGGGAAGGTTTAAAAATAAAAGAGGAGCAGTTTGGGGAAGAAAAACACATTTGGGGGATAGATGGGCTAATGAAGCATAGGCAATGGGTCGAAGAGGTAGGGGGAGGTTTTTAAAAAAGTAGTGTTAAGTGTTTACAAATTTTTGTTTCAGGAAAGTGGGTGCGGAGGGGGAAAGGGGGCGATTGGTGGGAAAGATGTGTAAAGAAGTAGAAGGGGGAAAAAGTTAGCATATGAAAGTTTTTACAAGTAGAAGTGATGCAAGGAGGGAAGAGTATATGGAGAAAAAAAGGTTAAGAGAGTGGGAAGCAATGTAAAACGAGAGCAAAGAAGTGGGTGGATGTTATCACAAATTTTGTTTAAAAAAAAAAAAAGTTTGATGAGATAAAAAAGTTAAGAAGCCTAGAGAACAAAAGGATTTTTCATTAAAAAAAGAAAAGGAGAGTTTTAAATGAGAGTTAGACTAATGGGGAAAATGGAGGGAAATTTTGAGAATTGTTAAATGTTGATGAAGATAGGGAATCTGTGATTTCTGAAAAAGGGGGAAAGGGGGAATAAAATCTTGTGGGGTGAGGAAAGAGCCCGTTGTGAGTGTGGGGGGAATTCGTAGGCAGTAGGTAAAAAAAAGGGGGTAAGGCAGCCGGATTTATGGA